TGCATGCGCTTTTTTTATATTTATTACACATCTATAACGTATTATCGACAAATAATATTTCATTCAGTGGTTGTTGATTACAAGCTTATTAACTTTCTAGTTTGTTGCCGAAGTTTACTGTATCGTGGCATTGAGCCATGACATTTGTTTTTAAATTTTCCATGCGTTCTCATTTGTTATTTAAACTATTCCTTAATATATGTTAAATTATTTGTTGTATTAACTTTGTTCTTTAAGTATCTGTTATTACTATTTACCACCAAGAGCACGTTTGTTTACATTCTTTCATCACGGTTTTCCCCCTCGCACTTGCGCTGTGCGTTAACCGAAATTATAACGAGAGGTTTCATAGTTAAGGTCAGTGCATACGGAAAAATATCTGCGAATAAGTGTCTGAAAAGTCAATAATCGGTACATTTATGAATATTTTGCAAATGTAAATGATTTTCTTTTAACAAAAAGTTCACGTTCACTTCTTTTAGAGTAAGACTTAGCCATTCAAGTATATAAAACATATTTTTTAAAATTTGAAGTTTCATATGACTTTAATTAGCAGATACTTCTCATCTAAAGAAATTAAAGAAAATGCATATGACAAGTATGCGTGCAAAAATTATAGCTTTGAACTTCTAAGTATCGGATGGATGTGTCGTGGACAAGATGGCGGCGTGTTGTGGTCGTCCTCCGGACAGTGGTCAGAATTCCAATTCAAATGACGATTCAATAAGTCCAACATTTACAGAATTAGTGTCAGTAAGATTCAATAGCAATTTGGAAGGTAAAACAAACGGAACATTACAAAATGCTGCTGCAAACGATGTATTGAACTCATCTCAATGTGACCAATGGTTCGAGTCCCAAAATGTAAACAATGACAATAGCCTGTCCAATTCGCAAGATAGTATTCCATTCAGTCAAGACTCATACATTCCATCGCTGCAAACTATAATGTACTTAGATAAGGTTTTAGATGGCATTCCCAGAGAAAAATACATTGACATGATTGTGCATACTTTAAATGGCAACGAATCATTAGCAACTTGGTACAGAAATATTCTGCTATCCCGGGCGGGCGAGATAGAAGGGTGCCCAAAAGGGAAAAGTGACAATTTGCATAATGATACCATTTGTGAACAAAATCCCGTTAACCAGATTGATATTAACAGAACATTGCAGTTGCTAATTGAAAGAGTCAATGGGTTAGAAAATATAATAAAAAGTAAAGACGGGATTGAAAAGAAATTAAAAGCAAAAATTGAAGAACTTGAAAATGGTATTGACGACAACAAACGTCAATTTGAGTTATTAAAAGCTGAAATTACCCCAAAAATAGTAAAATTTGAATCGGAAATCAAGACCATGATTTGGTTAGCAAGTGAGCGAGTTCAATTTTATGGCACATAGTAGTAAAATGAAAGAAATCCAATCGGAAATCAAACAAAATCGTATCGCAATTACGTCTTTACAAAAAACATTCAGAAAAAATCAACCCGTATTGAACCCCAAAATACTAGTAAATAAACAACCGTCGACAATAGGTACGAGTGAACACATGTCTCCATCTATGTGTCCCGTTAATACGAATAAATCCACTGTGTCGAATGTGTCAATCGATTCATTGATTACAACCGAAATAGACCGTATGATGTATCAGATCGACCCCAAACAATCCGATCCTATAATACCTGGCGCATACGACTCTCTAGATTTTCTAGAACATTGCGGAAAACGCCCAACAGAAATCTTTGAAACGGATAATAATGTTGATTTAATTACTCCAACTTGCGGAAAGGAAATTACAATAGTAACGAAACCGAACATTAAATGCGATTTATATAGAAACAAACTTCTGGGAGGCATAAACGAAAAAGCTGACAGCATAGTTACTAATTTGGCCAAAGCATTAGAACCATCCTTTCAAATTCCCGTACGTATCAATGGGAGTCATAATGATCCCAAACCTGCAAATGAGAACTTTACCGGTGTAAGCCGAAAACGAACGTCCAGATTTTACATTTCAAACATAGATCCTTCCTCGAGTAAGGAGGGCCTATTGAGCTATGCTAACCAACCTTGTGTTAATATTACGCACGTCATACTGTTCAAACCACACAAAGGACGAATTTCTGGTAGGATAAACGTTACGCTGGAACAGTTCCCGTGCGTTTGATACGGTGTGGCATGGTTTACAAATTTACAAACTGTACCAACTTGAAATAAATAGTAAAGCTTTACAAGTGATTTCTAATTGCTATAGTGATATAACAAGTGCCGTTTACGTCAATGAACACGTATCAGTACCCTTCAAAGTCCGACAAGGCATCAGACAAGGCGGTGTACTATCGACCATCCTTTACTTGGTGTACATTAATGACCTATTAAATGAATTAGAATTAGTTGGAACCAAATATTCGTACAAGTAATCCATCATTTGCTGACGATGTAGTTTGTATTGGTACTTCACCACAAAGACTCCAAATTATGTTGAATTGTGCGTACGATTATTCACTTAAATGGAGATTTGAGTTTAATCCTCTGAAATCTGTTATCTTATGCTACAGAACTGAACTAGACCATGTATTCAATCTAGGTGATATAAGTGTTAACGTTTCAACTGAGACCAAGCATCTTGGAATATTAAGGACGGTTGACTTATCACCAAGCACAGATATTCAGCATTCATGTAGGAAGGGTCGCAATGGTTATTTTGCTATAGCCGATACTGGAACTTGTTTGCTAAATCCGTTAACTGTGTGTGGCTTCTACAATAAAATCGTTATACCTGCGGTACTATACGGATGTGAGCTTTGGAAAGGGATAAAACCAAAAGACATAAGGTGTCTTGAAACTTTCCAGCATTTCATTGTTAAACATATTCAAGGCTTCCCTAAACGAACACGGTCAGATATGTGTGAATCTATGACCAACCTTGAGAGACTACCTATACTAGTAGAAAAACGGAAATGGATGTTTCTGTATAAACTTTGCGAAATGAAGGCCGAATCACTTACCAAACAAATTTTCATTTATAGACTTTATCAGTTTTTCGGAGATACCGGTAGAAAACAATATGGATTCATCCCAGATGTAATTAATATTTTATCAAAATATTCACTTTTGAATTTTTTGAATAGCTATATGTTTACGGGCTGTTTCCCAATAAAAGTTCAGTAGAAAAACATTGTCAATAGTGCGATTAACTTGAGTGAGATACTTCAAAAGGAAGAGCGAATGCGTAGTGACAACAATTTATAAGATTTCTAAGATTGTCTGAGAACAATGGCTTTGATTTCCTGTGGCAATTTGCCAAAATTACTGGCAGACTTCTAACCGCGAAACATGTAGCTAAACTTTGGTCTACTCCCCCGACTAGCGGAAACTGCAACTTGTGTGGACACTTTGTTCAAGATACACTTTACCATCAAATTAGTATGTGCACAGAACTTCTCTCACAAAGACACGTGCTATATAAAAGATTATCAGAAATGACTAGTGACAATTTCGTATACACACTGCTTTCGAAATCAGACGAGTACGTGTCTTGCTTTCTGCTTGCCAATCAGGAAGCTCTCTTAGACTTTTTAGCACCAGAGCATTGTTTGGAAGTCCTTAACGAAGGATTTTCCTTTCTAAAATACTGTAAATACTTTTCCATCCAAAATATTAAGTGACATTCTATTATATAATTTCAAAACTTTATAATTGTACATAATTTATATATGCATGTTGTCAATCTCCTATAGGAGGAAATAAAGTATGATGAAATTAATATTGCAAATAATCTAGTATATTTTTCGCATGAATAAAAGGAGATGTGTGATAAACGTCAACAACACACCAATCAAATAATACAAATATCCAAATGACATATCGAGGTGAGCATACATGAGTCTATACAACATGTCCAGTTCTTATCTACACAAGTCTTCTAGAATTGTCAAACTTTTAACAGAAACTATCAAAGATTTGCCTTCAACACCAAATGACAAAGAAAACAGTTTATTACTACAACCACGTCAATGTAGATGTTTCTGACTTAAGGCAGGAATGTGTGTTCTGAGTGTATCCTCTTTTTTTTTGTCCTGGGGCAAATCATATTTTGTTTAATTTGCCCCTAATGTATATTGTCATCTAGATTCTGACATTCGATTTCCCATTTGTTCGGGATGTACAAGTTCTCAGCCACGTCCGGTCAAAATGGGGAAGTTCAATCATATGCCTCGTGTGACAACTCTGAGGGATCCGTAGGTGACCTGTTGCATGGTAAATTTCAGTCCATATTAAATATAACCTCAATTTCTAGTGGCAGTCATAATTTTCCAGACCTTCATCCCTCTAATACAGGAACTACCTATTGAATTAATTGTGAATTTGTTCTCGTCAAAACATGCATGAAATATTGCCACTGGACATTTAGAAATCAACAATCAATCAATCATCCACTATGAATAACGGTAAATTAAACTACCAATATTCTATTTTATTGATATTGTAACGTATTTGAATGCTGCAGCGGCGTACTAATTGATACCCATGATCCATATCGTTATGTTTTTGGTCAATATATTTGTATTGTAGGGAGATATCTTGACACTTCACATCATTCTTTGCAACACATTTGGGGAGTCTATCACAATCCAAACTTTCCCAATACCCTTATTCAGGGGTAGCTATCATTTGATGCATCTTTCTGGTCTACCAACAACCGTTGACTTATTGTTAAACTGTTCTCGTCCCGGTTATGCCTGCACTTTCCGTCACCGAAGTCAGCAAGTTAAAAATATCAAGCAATCAGTCATTTTTCCTGTATCATTTTTTATGTCATCCTATTGAGGACATTTAAATCATCTGACTATTTGTTTTGATGAATTCTCTAAATAAAATAAATGTTGTTATTGACCTACATGGATTTATCATAAGTTTTATTTTTATTTCTTAACAGTTTTAATGATATAATTTGTTTTGCAGTGAAAAATGTCCCGTCAACAAAACAAACTCTGTATTATAAAATTATATTTATTCTAGATAAAATCATAAATTGTAAAAGATGTTTGGCAATCTTTTCCTGATTCTTTATCAATAGCAGTTATATTCAGTTCTGTTTCTCCAAAATGAAAAATGATAGTGACTTCTCGTAAATGTTTTGTAGGATTAGGAATTTCCACTTCTACGACACCAAGCTTAATGCATGTTCCATCGTCTGTAAATTGTACATTATCCTGATGTGTGTAATATATAGGCAGTCTATGTGCATATTGGTACTCTTTGGACGTAGTAAATGTCTGCCTTATCTTCATTCCTATTGGAATTGATCTATTTGCCTGCATAAAAGTGTAAAAAATGTTCTCACAATGGGGTTTTCCATCTTTATAAACCCTTCTATGGAATTCGTCTGTCAACGGATCAAAGGATCTCACAATTTCCACACCGTAGGTGCATCTTGTTACGCGAGAGGATATTGCATTTAGTTGATATCTAAATAAAACAGCTCCTTTAAGAACAGCCAAACCTGCTTCTTCTGGTACAATAACATATCGGTCCGGAAAAGCAGATTTCACTGCCTCCTGTATTAAAGCACACTCACCGAATCCTCCAACCAATAAGATATGTGAGATATTTTTACTTTTGTTTTCGTCTAACACAGCCTTGATCAAACTAATAATACCGTTTATTGTAGGTTTAAATAGCGATTTAGTAAATTTTGCCTCTATTCGCAATTTGTCATTCTTCAATTGTATACTAGAAGCTATTGGACATGATGCTACGACTTCCTCAATTTTCTTCAGATATTCCGATTTACAGAGATTATCTAAAACTATATTTGGAATAGACACATTGACTAATCCGGATTTATCTGGTGTTACAGTTCTTTTAACGTTTTCAAAACATCTTATCAAACTTAAATAAGAATCGGGGAATTCCCGTTTTAACTTGTCTATCACTTGATGTCCAAATATGTCTTCCATCATCTGCAAAAACTCTTTATCAACAGACGTTCCGCCACAGTTATTGCCAGAAGCTTTCGATAGTTCTTTCAATGTCCCATCCGGAAGCTTTTCATGAGCTGTTATGTCTACAGTGCCTCCTACAAAAATGTCATTTATAAAAGTAAATTATATGTTGTTATCATTGTTAATAATTCACTGGTAAGTAAAAGAGCAATAAATGTAAACATAGATAATTTTTTAAATGCTAAACTGCTGAATTTTATATTAGTTTACACACTGGTGCTGCTAGTTGAAGATACCTTAGAAAAAACAAATACAAACAAAAATTTGAAATTAAGAATGTGGCTTCCTATGTCTTTACATAGACCTGATTGCTTTTCCGGGTATGGCAATAAGTATCGTCCTTTTTTATTATATCAGCTCTTTATTGTTTCGATAAGGGTTTTTGGTTTTCAAATAATATGGCTGGGAGTATCACATTAATGGCCGAATTACACGTCTGTTGCAGTCAACTTTGTGCCGTTTAGTACGATCATTGCTTTTGAATATTCCTCGTGTATAGTTAATGGATTTCTTTTGTAAAGAAAATATCAAAATCAATGACATAATTTAGGTTCCACTAAACATTTTTTCTGTATTGATCTTATTTCTGATCAACATAATTTCTTGAAACTGTTTTTCCTTATCCATCTGCATTTCACCTCACTCTTTTTTTTCCATATGATTGTAACCTTACCCCCAAGATCTACGACCAGATATTGGCAATCAGTATTAACTATGTCTAAGCTGCCTGGTGGTGGATATGTTTGACAATATATTGATGCAGCTTCAGGTTCTAAGGCCAAAGTTAACTTGTCCTCTGCTATTCCAGCCTGTATTAAATGATTGAAGTGGAATCATTAATATAACATGCTTGCTTAAAGTTTAGCTTTATTTTGATTCAATCAAAGATGAAAAAAGCATGCTAAAAAACTGGAATTCACACCTTGTGTTTGTTTATTTTTGTCATGGTAAAAGCATAAATGTTTTCTGCTCCAAATGATTTATCAAATTGAACATTTTCTATTGATTTGAAACTTCTAAAATGTCAGGTAAGTCTTCTCATAATCGTAAAAAATTATGTTAAATGAGTTTTCCGATGCTTTTGAAAGGATTTATGTACCAGTTTCATTTATAGTTGTGTTCTTACTATTGTTAGACTTTTTGCCTTTGTATATATATCTTTGGGCATTTTTTAATATATGAATATTTAGGTACCCTGCTCAGTTTTTATTCCCTCCTTAGTTCTAATGTTATTTAGTATGAACCATTTAATCTTTATATCACAACAGTTTGACAAACCGACACCTGAAAGGAATAATACAACGCAGATTTCAGTGATTATAAAAAATAAAGTCGCAGAATGAATAGCATACGCACCATTTCAGCACCTTTTCTCATAAACAGTTTCGCTGTATCAGACCATATCGCGGGTACTGTTAATATCCAGTTCGTGTCATCGTCTAATTTGATGTTCTTCACCAATAGAGTTTGCATCATGTGATCTTTAAGCGCTTGGATAGACAATGAGAACACTTCTACTGCTGGTAGTGTCTGACCTCTGACATCTTCTAATAACATTCCCATAGAGATTGACTTTTAATATAGACAATATGTTATTGATTGATTGTTGTTTTTCCGGTTGCAAATATTCACATGTTAGACAAGACAAAATAAATAATACATCTGAACGATTGGCTTACGAAAAGACGTTCGCCAGAGATGAAAGGTGGGAAAATGAAAGTATATTAAATAGGATGGTTTGTGAACAGAAATTCGCCTTGCAACAAGCTATTAAACGCTAAACAGCCAAACGAATGATGTTCTATGGCGTTGCATTTATAATAGATAAAACCAATCGAGTGAACCTCAAGTAAACCTTTTTGTCTTATTTAAATGAAATAAACCTCTAGTGATAATATTACTGTATTGTCCATTTAAAGCGATATAATTTGCTTAACTCTATCTCATTCGCTAGAACCAATGTTTTAAATATTTATGTTGGATGACAAGTGCAACATGTGGAGCAGGATCTGTTTACCTTTACAGAGCACCTGAGATGACCACCAGTTTTTGATGGGGTTCGAGTTGCTCAGTCTTTTGTTTTTTATGTTGTGTTTTGTGTACTGTTGTTTTTTTTTCGTCATTATTCGTTTTTTTTTTGCCATGGCATTGTAGGTATGATTTCGACTTATGAGTTTGAACATCCCTTTGGTATATTTCGACTCTCTTTTATCTTAGATTATCAAAGCTTTTCTATTTAAGGATTTTCTTTTCTATGTAAAACAACATAGATAATTGAATTGCTAAAAACGAATTTCTATCTAATCAAATTGTATTGCACTTAGGAAATAAGGATGCTAACTTCCATATGGTTTTTTTTTTCATTTTCGATTATTGAATGTGAAATATCAAGTTTTTATGTATATATTTTTATTCTAAAATACCTTGTTCTCGTGCAAGTTCATTTTAAACCTATAGAAATAATAATATTCGTCCTCCTCGCCATCCATGACGATATCAGTGTATCGGTTTTCAGCTTCATATCCAAAAGACACGATTGCCTTTTCTTTTGTTAGCAGTAAACACGTTGGTGTTTTCAGCGATACTGCTTCTCTGATGCCAGCATTCCAGGCTTGGTTTGATAGTATTTGTACTTCCTGTAATTTGGTTTTCAAATGTGATACCGAGAATGCATATCCTGAGTAGGTAGTTCCAAAGTCGATAGCTGCGACATACACAGACATATCTGTATGATAAAACATACTTCCATGAAGTTACATAAAGCGTTTAATAAAACAACACAAGATCAAGAAAGACAGACAACGACATGGCGAAAGTAATAAGATATTCATTTTTATATGCACACGATTGAACTTCCATAACTCCTATTTTTCCTTCACGACATGAGTTAACTTTTTTGTTTTAATGGACACATTTTGTTTTTTCTACATTGTGAAAACTTTGATTACATATGGTAACTATCTTTTTTATTTCAATATAAAATAAATCAGCGGGGCACAGCTTCATGCGACCGGATAGGTCGAACCCTAAACAGTTGGGGCAAGTATGGACACTACATTCATGTTTGATACAGCTCTGAATTTAGATTGTGATTAAATATTTGACACAGCATAGGTTTATGAGCAGAATGAATGTGGTCAAAGAAATGAAAAAATTTGAAATTGGACTTTTAGCTATGATGGTCCAATATTCAAAATCTAAATACACGGTTAGATTCAGCATATCCAAGTACAACAAGAATTTAATTGATTTAATTGTTAATGGACACTATTTGCTAAGTTTTAAAATGCTCCATAATTTTTTTTTAGTTTCAGCAGTAATTGGAAAGAAACCTATTATAAACTTAAGTAATATTTTTTTATGTTTGAATATTGCTACAAGTGGGGTACAGATGGATAAGTATGGTAGTCGAGGTTTATTTTTCACCAGGTAATGGTTGAAGTTTTTAAACTTGTGACTTTAAGTGATTGGAAAGGGGGGAGTCATTGTTCTTCACATTGCTTAATGCAGACGTCACAATGTCCCGAAATTGACAGTGTGACGTCACCAGATAGATACACGGTAAAGGAAATGTTCAAATTCGGGTGTGATCGTAAAAACATCGGGCCATTCGTGAGGTCATCTTAAGCCATCGAAAGACCGCCGGTTGAGTTTTCAGGCTCCGGCAGCAACTTCGTTAGCGGTGGCAAAATCTTTGGCATACCAAATATTTTCGAAAGACCTTGCAAAGGTTCATTTTCGTGTTGAATTCGTATGCCTATTTTGCCCTTCGAAAGGACATCGTGAGGGCATCTTGACAAATTGTGTCATTTTTTTCTTCTTTTTCTTTATTTATTTCTCGTGATTATATGTGCCATCGGGCATTTTCGTCTCACGAAGACAATACGAAGGAAACCCGATTGTCTTAGGAATGCCATACGACTACGTGAAGCCCCCGCAATGCCGATGTGTAGCCATCGTATCATAGTACGATGCCATCGAGATTGGGCGACGGTGTCGGCGAAGACAGCTCAAGCGTTTCACATATGTCAAGGTAACGTGGACATATAAAAGGCTAGCCTCAGGGCATCTTCCTCAGACAGTCCTGAGCTACTCTACAGAACAACCCCCAAATCTTCAATCACAATTATTCACAATTCAGTCCCTGTAGAATGGCATACTTTGATGATGAGACAATCAGGAAAAAAAGACAGCATATCTTTGTCATATCTTGCTCTTTGCCTTTCTAATACTCGGCAATGTCCTTAGTTTGTTGTGTTTCTTATTTTCCCTTGCAGGGACTAATTGATACGAAGGAAGGAGGAAACCGAGGTCTATGTGGGTCAGAAAATTGCTGACAAATTTAAAAAAAGAGAATGCTATGGCCACTATAGCACTGAAGGCAGAAGATGAGAAAGCCTTCTACAACTACATAAGACTTCCCAGAGGCGTCTACGATGAGGTCCTGCGAAGGGTATAAGGAAGAATAGAGTAGAAGGACACATGGTACAGACAGTCTCTCCCTCCTTAACTCTACGACAACTGGCCTGCGGTGACAATTATCCAACCTGTCCGTCAACTAAAGAGTTGCTCCAAACACCATCTCCCTTATCCCAAATGATGTTTGCGATGTCATCAAAGCCGAGTTTGTTGTCGAGGTTATCCAGTGTTCTACTACAACTGAAGAATGGACCGCCATTGCTAAGCAATTTGAGAAGAAATGGAAATTTCCACACTGCTATGGTCCCCTGGATGGCAAGTATGTTTCGGTCACCTGTCCTTGGAATACTGACTCTGAGTACAGAAACTACAAGGGCTTCTTCTCCATTGTTCTCATGGCCCTGGTCGACGCAGACTACAAGTTTCTTTGAATGATGTCGGTTCTGATGGTTCCATGAACGATGCTAGTATCTACAATGCATCAGAAGGAAGGCCTGGAAAGTCCAAACAACATAATTTATTCAATCTCCCAGAATCCTGGTGATTACGTTTCTGTCCCAGAGTACATATTCATAGTATGGGAGAATGCTTTTTGAATCAACAAGCACCTGATGAACCCGTTTTTCATTAAAAACAATGTAGCACAATCAAAAAATATTTAACTTTAGACTTTCCAGATCGAGGCGTGTAGTGGAGAATGCCTTTGGTATTCTGGCACACAAGTTCCTAGTTTTGCTGAAAACCATGAATCAAAGTCCAAAGACATACAGAATAAACAGCTGCGCCATGAGTGCATGATACGCCCGTCGCGTTTTCAAAGAATAAAGTTCAATAACTTCTCAATGTCATATCAGAATTTATAAAAAAAAAACTAAAGGGAGGTTATCTTAATAGATATAAATCAGTCGACAAAGTTTTATGAAAACTGCTAAAAGGATTTTTGAGTTATTGTCTGAAAACTGGAAAATCCCGCTCTTTTAATGAATAAGACCCCAAAACTCGGAAACGTAAAATCTAAAACTTATAAAAAACGAAAGGGAGCTCACGTCAATAGATATTAACAATTCACCAAAGTTTGAACTTTCATGCAAATTGGTTAAAGCGTTTTTGAGTTAATGTCCGGCATGTTGACGACGGACGGACGGACGGACGGACAGACGGACAACGGTATGCCATTATACGTCCCGTAAACGGGCGTATAAAAATCATCTCAACAAGCCACAGACAAAAACCTGATGAACTTGGAGGACCAAAACCAGAATGTCATCCCAGGGACATGGAGAAATGAAAAAGCACTTCTGGATGTTTACCATGAGAATGCAAGGAACACTGGAACTCAGGGTGGGAGGCAAATTATAATATACACTGCTTTACCTCAAAGGCTTGTTCGGTGCCATGGCAGGACATGATTATCCAGTAAGTATTCCCACAATGCAGTGACAGTTAAATCAATACATAGACACTAACATTGTGATGATGAACAAATTATTTTCAAATATTGCATTGTAATTTAAAGCAAAATATGTATGGAGTAATAAATGTTGTTCACGAAACTTTGATTGAAAATTATATTAATATAGAAATTAAAATAACTTGTAAAGTAAGGATAAGGTACTAGTAAATTAAACTTCCAACAGCCGGACAAATGTTGTATACCATCAGGAGGTCTCGTGATGCCTTTGTGACCAAGTTCGAACGAACGAAATCGTACAGTCATCGTGTTGCCCTCGTGTGTCCTGCGAATAAACATCGTAATACAAATTCACATCTTTTTGTTGCCATCGTGTGTGGTTCGGATGCCATCGTGTGACCTTCTGTAGGCATTGTTCTTGCTTCGGCTGATGATTGGCTGTTGAACAGGTTCCGGACCATCTTCGCTCGAAATTCCAAATTCGATATTCGTATGGCCATATTGTCGATTTTGGGACAGTGTGACGCCTGCGTAACTGTTAGCATTTAGAAATTGCTATTGATAATTTTGCAATTTTAGCAATGAATGATGTAGTGGAAATGAAACGAAGAATAAAATTATATCTAAGTTAAAAGGACAAAAGAAATATATTATAATGGACTGAAGATTTTTTTCAAATATTTGCAATATAGGATAATAATACGGGATAAAAGTGTGGCATGAAATTGGGCATGGATTGGTAATTATGGATTATGAGATTGTAAAGTGGTTTGGATGTTATTTTAATTAGATTTGTGAAATTGTGGTTGTGAAAAGTGATATTAAAAGGTGACATTTATGTTGTGTGTTTTAGAGTGGATAATCATTAAATTGTGGTTTAAGTTATTTCCCTTTGAACAGAAATGTCTATATGAAGGAAATTGTTTTTTAGTATATATGTGGGAAATGTTTAAATTATTATTGACGTAGATTGATATATTTGAATGAGAAATGCTGATAATTTTATATAGGTGAATCAGCAAAATTCTTTAAAAATGAAATGGCAGTATCTCATTTGCATATCATCTCAAAGAAAAGACATAAATTATAAGCTCAATACTGTGAGGGAGGTAACTCTTAATATAAAAACAACAACCAAACAAATGAAATTGATCAAATATAAGCAATTCAGCATAGTAAAAAAACCCTACCATTCAATTTTTGTTGAAATCAAACAAAAGTTTAATTTTGGACCCTTTGGACCCTGATGTAGACCAATTTGAAAAATGGACCCAAAATCCAAAATCTATATACATTATTAGAATCAGCGTATCGAAATCAATCAAAGTTTGATTTTTGGACCCACTTGAAAATACGGCCCAAAATCAAAATTCTATATACACGATAAGTTTACGCATATCAAAGATCATTGAAACCCCATTGAAATTCGGCAAAGATAAGCAATTCAAACAAAGTTTAAAACATTGCTTGTTTCTTACCCTTTGTTGTACCTTATTCCTAAACGGATACGGCCATTACCCCAAATTCAATACAACCTTCCCTTCCGTTTGTGGTATGGAACCTTGTGATATAATTTCATACAACATGTACAAATCCATACACTTATACTCAAATAGTTGTCCGGAAACCAGAAAAATGTTTATTTTGTTCCCTTTTTGGCCTAATGTCTATTGGCTATTATGTTGTCTCTTTTTTTTTTGTCATATAGCTCATCAACTGTTTTTGATTTTCCAATTGGTTTTGAAATATTAGGCTTTGGTCGCTCCTGATGAAGGTAGATCCAGAAAATCAGACGTATTAAATTTATATAATGTTGCTTTGCTAGAAAGTTAAAATTGACGCCTATCAGGTTACAAGAGCGCAATTATTTGTTTACATTTTACCGGCAAGTTTTTTACCCCAAGATGGTACTCAGAATAGAATCCTATACGGCTTCTGATTGGATGATACAGGATTGGAATTACATTTAATCGAAAGCTTATCCAATTAGGTTTAAAAATTGCAGAAAATCATATTCACATTTTACGAAGTATAGAAAATATCCTCCATTTCTGCACGTCGGAGCCAATAAAAATATGCCTTTTTCATTAAGCGAAAAAAATAGACGATCTTTTTCAACTGCATTTTAAGTCAATTTCTGCCGCATGACCCTATATATTTTTTTGGTTGTACTGCAACACTGGCATTTCTAGTAACAGGAACTGCAATCCGTTTTTCCCTAGTTTGTGTAGTCTTCGAGAAAAAAATATAGGAACACCACTGGTACCCTATGGAAAATGCATTACGAATAATTGCGCTCTTGTAACCATCAATATCAACACTGTATGAAAGTTGATTAAAACCTAAATCTACTTTCAGTTTCGTTTAACTGATTAAATCTATGTCCACAATGTTTTATACTTTTATCTATAAATATCATGTTTCCATCAAATGTGTTTAAAATAAATTGTACTAAAAAAGAAATATTTACCTTTCTGAACTTTAATAAAAATTCAATATTGGTAATTATTGTGATAATCTGTACCACTATTTTATATTTTTAATTCGTCCATACTAAAGCGGTGTTTTGAAAATTTCCTTTAAAAGATAGACCTTTCTATGTTTAGATACATTAGGTAATCACTGGGAATTTTAAATCAGATAAAAAAAGATTTTCAGAAAGTCTGAGTACTTAACATTTGCATTTGAATGAAAACAAAAGGGAACTGATAAATATGTAATACAAAAAGTAAGTAGCATTAGGTCATTGTAAGTTGATATTTTACATGTTTAACACATGTTTTAATCAATATTAATTACTAATTGTTAAAAGAGAAAATGTTCTACCAATATCTAAATTTGTACGTACTTTCAGTAAATGTCCATACTTCATTGCACATGCGCGTGACAAAATACCTAGATAATTTAGTTTTCTTCGAAGTCAACGAACAAAATAACACTAGCCCTGGAAAAACAAGGTATATTTTATTACTTTTTTCGTTTTTTAGCATGAAAAGTTATACTCTTTAGTATTATTTACATGAAATATAGAAATGATGAACATAAAGACAATCATATGAAAAGAAACAGTTGGTTAAATTAAAAACCATATTACTATAGCACTTAAAAAATGATTTCTTGATAAACGTATCAATGATCCTGATACCAATAAAAGGCATTATGTGAATAAAATTCCCAGCATATTTTGTGAATAAGAATTTTACTATCACTTTTCCTATGGCATATATGCATGTAATCCAGCTCGAACTTTACTTTCACTTTTGTTGTGTAATATGCATGTATTCATGTGGCCTATTTTAATCTTTTTGACATCGGAGGTTTCTTTTTCCTTTTTATTTAATAGACTTATTGGTTAGTTTGATTTCCGTAGCAATCTACCTGTAGAGTCAGCTTAAGATCAAAACTCAAGTCCATCAGACGTATACTGGGAGACATCATCACTATGTCTATAAATTTAGCAGCTATTGACTTTGGAACAACATACTCAGGGTATGCGTTTTCGGTATCACCTTTGAAAACTAAACTGCCAGAGGTACAAATACTTTCTAACCAATCTTGGAACGCTGGTATCAGAGAGGCCATATCATTGAAGACTCCAACGTGTTTACTTCTAACAAAGGACAAAGAAATAGTAGCTTTCGGATATGAAGCTGAAAACCAATACACAGATATAGTTTTGGATGGACAGCAAGATGACTACTATTTCTTTTACAGATTTAAGATGAATTTGCATAATAACAAGGTAAAAGCTTTGTGTTATAAACATAAACATAGAGTTTGGGGAGTTATAATTGCCGTTCTCTAACTTTAGTTTGCCTCAACCAAATGTTATGAAACCTATACACAATGCTTATTACCACAAAACACAGATCAAGTTCGAATTTGGGTGGCATCACATTCTCGAGTTATGTCCCTTTATAACGTTATAACGTTTTTTTTTTGTTTTTTTTTTTTTTTTAATTGAAATGTACATTTGTTAGAGATACATAAAGTACCGGTACCTTATCCCGGTCTCGTTGACGTTAGTATATAGCATTTCATAAGGTTAGTACTTGTTAGTACACAACATACAATTTTGCTAATAAATAATGTATAACAGAATAAAAAGAAATTACTATGATATATTATAAATCTTAGTTAAGAAGATAAATTTATTTTTTCTGCAACCAAATTGTAGAAGTTTTTATATTTGCCTTGTTTATTTGTCAATATTTCGTAATGTTGGAGAAGTTCACTTTTAAAAATTTCAAACACATTAATTTGTTTTGTTTTCTGCTAGGATATGTAATACACTTTATATATAGTAAAAAGTATGATTGTTAGAAAATCGTTGATATTGTAATAATTTGTATCGTTTATCTTATATCCATACAAAAGTGATGCAAGTGATATTATATGATGTCCTATTTTAAGTTTGTCTAGTATTAGTTTTATTTGATCCCAAAATGATTTTAGATATTTGCATGTCAGAAAGTAATGATCATAATCTTCAATGACATTACATATATTTCATAGAGGAGTTTTAGTTATTTTCCAAGAGAAAAGTAATTGTTTGGTTGGTAAAATGTAATGTAGAAATTTCCATCTTAACATTCTCAATTTATTATCTTGGATATAGTTAAAGATAAAATACAGCATTTGTTCTCTTTTCCTTGTATTGTTATCTAAATTTAGAATTCTGTCCCATTTTTGAAATCCTATTGCTTTCTCATAATATCTATTTAAAAGCGAGATGTAGATATCTTTCGAGGAAAAATATTTTTATTGGTACCATTTTTCCTTCTCTATCTTTGAATTTAAATTCGGAGTCGGAAACAACTTTTGTTTTGATTAACTCTTTTTTTATTAGCTCTTATAACCACTGTTTTGGTATTGCTTTCATCAATTTGGTATATTCCGAAAACCAATTAGCATTGCAAGATAGTTTATCCAAAATCTTATTTTGATTAATTTTTCCTTTATCATCAATTATGTCATTTACAAATAAAATTTTGCTGTTTATCCAATTTTTGAAAATAAGACATTTACCATTTAATTTGATATGCTTATTGTCCCATATAAGTTGCTGTCTGATATGCTTATATGTTAGTCGATTTGATTCTTTTTCAGATTTTGAGTTTATCCATGATATAATTATTTTATAACGTTATATGCAAGCGAGGGCATCATCTATGTCCCATGGACACTTTCTCCATTATTCTATATGATACACACCTTTATACGTTTGCTATCTATTAGCTTATCAATATCTTTATATTTATAAACAATGTTTTCTCTTTTTATATTTCCTTTAGGATATTGCAATGGGTATGGTTCTAGAAGATGTCAGAGGCAAAGCGCTTTCCGCAATAGATGTCTTCTCATTGTCGATTCAGGCACTAAAGAATCATATGAAAGGTGTTATAGAAATTAAGAATGTTATGCTTGATGAAAATACAAGATGGGTATTGACAGTTCCTGCAATATGGACAGATACGGCAAAACTTTTTATGAGGAAGGTTGCTGGAATGGTAAATAACAAACACATTAACAATACATATTAATACATTTAGTACTAACTGATCTTTATCAACTCAAATAAAAATACATGTTCTTGCATTGATAACAGCCTTTCAGTAGTAAACAGTCAGTAACATTAAATCGATAACAATGTTAGTTCCACGATTTCGTAAACCATTGCACAATGCAATTTTTTAATCAGTTTACTCCAATTTTATACATGAAGTATGTGTCAACGTAACCATGATGAAATTTAAATGTGTGCAAATTAATACTACATTGTAATGCAATTCTTTTGATATTTAAATGCACCAACACACACGTCCTTGTAATGTGTTTTACAGGCTGGTATTCCAGAGGACAAATTGACTTTGGCACTTGAACCTGAGGCAGCTTCGATATTCTGTCAAACTTTCCCATCTGCTGGTAGCATAGACATTGTCAATATTGGATCTAAGTATATTGTAGTTGACCTTGGAGGTATGACGTTCAAGATTTTAAACTGTATTTTCTTATAGCGTTATAAATACGTAATCTTACAAAATCATGCCCTTGTAAATGGGCTTGAGTACTGGAAGTGTGATGACACGATTAAAGCTAAATTTTCTCCTTAACAAAATCTATTGAAATTTCGGCAGTAAAGTTTATCAACAGGTTGTAGGAATTCCTATGGGCACCAATTTCACTCATTTAACGAAGACCTGTTAAGATCCCGCGTAATTCCATTTCATCATTCAATTCAATAACACTAATCATTATCGTGAAGAAAGTTTTTATACGACCGCAAAAATTAAAAAAATTTTGGTCGTATATTGGTATCACGTTGTCGTCGTCGTCGTCGTCCGGCGTCGTCGTCGTCAGCGTCGTCCGAAGAATTTGGTTTCCGGATAATAACTTTAGTATAAATAAATAGAAATCAATAAAATTTTAACACAAGGTTTATAACCACTAAAGGAAGGTTGGGATTGATTTTGGGGGTTATGGTCCCAACTGTTTAGGAAAAAGGGGCCAAAAAGGGGCCGAAATAAGCATTTTTGTAGTTTCCAGAAAATAACTTGTGTTAAAGTGTATGAATCTCTCTGAAATTATACCAAAGTTTCCATACTACAAAGGGATAGTTAGGATTGACTTTGGGGGGTTATGGCTCAAACCAATTAGTAATTAGGGGCAAAAAAAGGGGGAAAACAAGGGTTTTTCTGGTTAAAGGACAATTGAGACAATTTAAAAGCAGTGTAAGGGAGGTAATCCAAATCAATAAAAGGAAACCTTTTTGATTACCTCCCTTACACTGCTTGTAAATTATGTATTAAGAAATGATGATTGTCTTGAGGTGATTAGCTGTCAATTTATTTTTAGCAGTTACTATTAATCAATATTAATTTTAGCCATGACTATGTATGTCATTTTATATTTTAAAACTTTTATGATGTATTTAAATGGGTAATTATGGTTTCAAACTCCATTAGAAATCTGAATTGAGATACTGACCATATCTTGAGAGAAAGATTTTTTTTTGGGAATAAGGGAAAGGGGGGAGGTGAAAAAAATTGGAGGGGGGGACAACTTTTCTCATTTCAGATTTCAGCAATTAAAAGAAAATTTCTTCAAATATTTGTTTTTGGGGGTTAATATTCAACAGCATAGTGTATTGCACAAAAGCAAAAAAACGGGGTAAAATGTTGTTTTTTTTTTGGGGGGGGGGGGGGGGGGTTCAATTCGCAACAGCATAGTGTATTGCACAAAAGCAAAAAAATGAATATAAATTCAAATCATATAACCAATTTGAAGTTCTTTGACTACAGTTATTCTGTGTCAGAAACCTATTATGTGTCAAAAATTTAGTTACAATCCAAATTCAGAATTCAGACCTGTATCAAGCGTGAATAGTGTGTCCATTTTGACCCCAACTTTTCAGGGTTGGACATCTGCGGTCGTATCTAGCTGCGCTCAGCGAAGCAATTTATTTTTTATATTCATTCAAGAATTCGCTAAATCTACTGCCGATATTAACCAATGAACAAACTTTAACCAAATCGAATCTAAACAGCAATGTAAATGTCCTTTCCTATGTATAAATATTTCAGTTTCACAGGGGTGTTCTTTTAGTCCCATCTTAAGGTGTTTATATATCCAAACTCGTTTGCAATGCCCTTATCTGTAGGAGATTTCAATGAACGTAATCTATGTATCTTTGGCTTAAAATTATTAAGTCAGTGATTTCGTCACCACAAATTACCCAAAAACCAAAAACCTTCACTAAATTCTTTCATAGATACAAATATTTGGTTTGGAAGTTTGGCTTTACCTGTGAAAAACTTATTACAAACGGAATATCCCATCCTTATCAAGTTCTTACGGTGATGTTATTTACAGAGCCCGTAAATTTATATACGAACCTTGTAAACTTGTCGATCCTGGAATAAACTTATTCTAAAAGGTAATCAGGTAAATATTGTAATAAGATCTTTAAATATTGTTTTATCGGTGCAAACATTGATTTTGTTATCAATACTGAATAAAGTTGTCTCGTTGGCAATCATACCACATCTTCTTATTTTTATACTTCGTTAATAAGGATGATTTCCTCCTGAAATACTTCTTGTAAAGTTCATGCATGTTACGTCATGGTAATTGTCCATTGGTAGTTTTTTTTTTTAATGTTTGGAACTACTTTACCATTTTGATTCTTCTGCGTCTTTTTTGTATGAAATTTTTAATTATCTTGTTTTGTTTTTACAGGCGGAACGGTGGATATAACAGCACATGAAAAGCTGTCTGATGGCTCATTGAAAGAATTGTGCAAAGCTTCGGGAAATGATTGTGGGGGGACATCGATAGATAGGCAGTTTATTCAAGTCTTTGTTGAAATCTTTGGGCAATCACTTTTAGACAAAATGAAAATGGACTTTCCAGAGGACTATCTAGGTTTGGTCAGGTCTTTCGAAAACGTAAAGAGAACACTAAAACCAGACAAAACTGGTTTGGTTAATATAACAATTCCAAATACAGTTTTAGATAAACTATGCCAGTCAGAACTAAACGATAGTATCCAAAATGTTGTAGCATCATCTGCATTTGCGGACTACTGCAGGCTCTATCACGATAAATTTCGAATGGAGGCATCGTATGCAAAATCACTTTTTGCTCTTACAACAGAGAACATTGTTTCATTAATTAATTCCGTCATGTATGAAAGCCATGACGCAGAAGTAGGACATATCCTACTTGTCGGTGGGTTTGCCGAATGCAAACTAGTACAGGAGGCGGTAAAGGCGGGGTTTCCCGACAAACATGTCACCGTACCGGACGAAGCTGGTCTTGCAGTTCTTAAAGGTGCCGTTTTGTTTGGATACAAACCGGATTCAATATCATCGCGGATAACAAGGTATACTTATGGTGTTGAAGTCGTGAGACTTTTTGACGAATCTAAAGATAGCTTGAGACGCAAAGTCTACGTTGATGGTAATGTTTTATGTGACAATGTATTCCAACCTTTCATGAAAGCAAACACATCGGTACATATAGGAAAAGAATTAAGACACACCTACGGCACGTCTGAAGAGTTTCAACAATCACATTTCCTGCCAATATATTATACTGAAAAAGATAACGTTGAATTTATCGACGAAGGTGGCTGCATGAAACTCGGCGAAGTTGAGGTAGAGATACCGAATCCTACAAAACATTCACGAGACGTAGATGTCATATTTCACTTTGGTGAAACAGAAATTTCTATTACAGCTATAGACAAAGAGTCTGGTAGAGAGTGCAAAACTACGTTCGAAATTCAAGACTTCAATTAATTTTTTATATGTGATTTCTTAAATAAAATTACCTGACATACTGTTTAATCTTACGTTCTAATAATTTAAGGCACTCGAAGAAAAACTTATAACTGCCATAAATATTCAGATTGCCATTAACAATTTAATAAACGTTCAATAGATTTGTTAATTAAGCAATACTAAGCCGCTCATGTGAACGTCTTTCGTATCATAATAAAAAGACATATAGCTCCGTTTCCTGTCATGTATAGAAATCTTAATTAGGTCTAGGGGAACATGATTGCTTTATTAGGTTTTTATGGACTTGAACTAGCTTTCCGTAACTATGAGTATTCTAAGATCGATATTTAGTGTGTGTCTTTTGCCTTAATGTTAGTTATTTTGGTGATTCAAACCATTTCCAACTGATTGTTACAGTTTTTTCGTATATTCTGCTTTGACACCACTGTCCCAGGTTTGCGAAGGACTGGGTGCTCACAAATATGTCTAATTCCTCCGCATTTTATGTGTGCCTGGCCCAAATAAGAAGCTAATGATTCAATGGTTGTCGTTGGTTGATGTCTGTCATTCAGAAGCCAATGATTCAATGGTTGTCGTTGGTTGATGTCTGTCATTCAGAAGCCTATGATTCAATGGTTGTCGTTGGTTGAGGTCTGTCATTCAGAAGCCTATGATTCAATGGTTGTCGTTGGTTGAGGTCTGTCATTCAGAAGCCTATGATTCAATGGTTGTCGTTGGTTGAGGTCTGTCATTCAGAAGCCTATGATTCAATGGTTGTCGTTGGTTGATGTCTGTCATTCAGAAGCCAATGATTCAATGGTTATCGTTGGTTGAGGTCTGTCATTCTGGAGCCAATGATTCAATGATTGTCGTTGGTTGAGGTCTGTCATTTAGAAGCCTATGATTCAATGTTTGTCGTTGGTTGAGGTATGTCATTCAGAAGCCAATGATTCAATGGTTGTCGTTGGTTGAGGTCTGTCATTCAGAAGCCTATGATTCAATGGTTGTCGTTGGTTGAGGTCTGTCATTAAAAAGCCTATGATTCAATGGTTATCGTTGGTTGATGTCTGTCATTCAGAATCCAATGATTCAATGGTTGTCGTTGGTTGAGATCTGTCATTCAGAAGCCAATGATTCAATGGTTGTCGTTGGTTAATGTCGGTCATGTTTGTTTTCGTTTATTGTTTTGTCATAAATAATTCCGTTGGTTTTTTCCTTTGAATTGATTCACATTTTGTCTTGTCGGGCCTTTTATAGCTAAATATACGATATGGGTTTTGCTCATTGCTGAAGGTCCCACAGTAACCTATAGATGCTTAAATGCATGTCTCTTGTGGATAGCTGTCTCATTGGCAGTATACCACATAATTTATATTCAATGTTATTCCGTTAAATATAACATGAATTACAACATAGCCGGGTTGAAAGGTTCAAATGATGAGGCAGGGAGCCAATTAATACTAAATTTTAATTTTCTGATAAAGGTATCACAACATTAAACATGAAAAATATCTTCAATTTGTTTTGCTTGACAAAATTGTTATAGAGCATCACTGTCAAGACATTAACGTTTTGGATTTCAATGAACGTAATTTATGTCTTACTGGTAAATTATTAAGTCAGGAATTTCGTTACCATAAATTACTTAAAACATTTACTTAATTCTTCCATAGATATAAAGATTTGGTTTGGAAGTTTCGTTGTACCTGTAGAAAACTTATTTTTAACGGGATAGCACATTCTAATTTTTACGGAGATGTTGTTTACTGAGCCCGGATATTTAGTCAAACTTTTCTATCCTTTAAATAAACTTATTCTAAAAGGTTACCAATTCAACACTATAAATAGATCTTTGAACATTGTTTTTATTGGTATTAATATTGATTTTTTTAATCAGTAAATTAAAATCAAACTAACTATCATTTTTATATACATATGCACACTCATGGCTCTACAATCTGTCGATACCTGTATCTTGGCATTGCACATTTCATGTTTTTCTCTTGACTGTTAATGACGTCTTTACACTAAATCCATTGGATGTTGGATGTGTACCGATTGATATTTTAGTCTTAGATGTGTGATTTTTTTATTAGTTGTTATTGGCTTTGAACTAGCTGTCAGTAACAGCAAGTACTCTCAGATCTGTACTTAGGGTCTTGTTGTTGTTGGAATGTATAAGTACCGTGCCACGTCCACTCTGTGTTTTTGTTAGATGTATTTCTGCTTTGTATTGATCTGATGAGTTAAGCCCTTTGCAACTGATTTTTATAGTTTGTTCTTATGTTGTACTGTTACACCACTGTCCAAGGTTAGGGGAAGGGTTGGCGCGCCTTCAAGCTAGTTTAACCCCGCCACATTCTGTATGTGCCTGTGCCAAGTCAGGAGCATGTAATTCAGTGGTTATCATTTGTTGCTGTATATCATATTTGTTTTTCGTTCATTATTTTGTACATAAATCAGGCCATTTTAGTTTTCTCGTTTGAATTGTTTTACATTTGACATTTCAGTGCCTTTTATAGCTGACTATAAAGTATGGGTTATACTCATTGTTGAAGGCCGTACGGTGACCTATAGTTGTTAATTTTTGTGTTATTTGGTCTCTTGTGGAGAGTTGTCTCATTGGCAATCATACCATATCTTCTAAATATTATATTAAGGTGGTATCGGAATATGAAAAAAAATGATAGAATCTTTTCATACTTTGTCAAAATTTTGTGTACATTGTGATATATTCAAAAATATAAAAAAATGATAGGTCACCGAGCTTGTTTTCAAGCTACAGAGGGTGAAAAAATACACATTTTGTGTAGATTATACAAAGAAAAATCACCATAATGTGAATTGAAGAAAAACTAAATGATATAATTTTGAAATAAAATATGAGAAGATTGCTCTTATAATATGCTTGTAGAATATTTAAAGAAAAAATGTTTTTCCTGGTATAACATAAAATTGAAAAATTTCCTATCGATTTCTTTATAAATTGTGCTAAATTTCAGAGTTACAATGTACCTCTCCTTTAAATGCCAAATAAAAAATAGATAAAAATCAAGCAAAAATATTCTACTTTTGTAAAAGAATGATGTATTATACCTTAAAATCACATAAATTTGTTCATTTAAATGAAAATTCCTCTTATCAATCACAGTCCTGCATTGATATTTACTGACTTTATTAAAAATCTAGACCTATTGTGCTCTGCTATTTTACAATCCAAGATGACAGATGACATCCATACGATCTTAATTGTCGAAATTTGTTCATGTTACATGTACTTTATTGTACTCTTCTTCTCAAATGACATTAAATCATTACCTAAGGAAATTATAACCAGGAAGTATTATTGAAATACTACATTTTAATCCATGTAAATTAAAATTCACAAATGTTTGAAATGGTTTTTTCAGTAGTCTTCTCTGGGCACTCTGGCTTCCTTCACCAATGAAAACTGACCACCACAAAATAGCACAGTAATGCTGAAAGTGGCATTAAACACCAATCAATCGATCAATTAAAATGTTTTTGAATATTGAAGGAAATGAAATCAAATTGGTATCACATTTTGATGTCTTTCTTAAATTTGAATGTATTATTTGTGAATAGAATTACTTGACATTGCATAAAAAATTCTCACTTTTAGTGTATGTATCAGCAATTGCAATCATAAATACAGGCAATAGTTTTGAAATAATATTATTTTATGGTATAAACTTTCAGATCAATTACAAATCACTAAAAGAGAGGTGAAAGATACCAAAGAGATACTGTGGATTCATTAATATTTGTTGCATGCCAATTTCCGTGGATTGCGTGGCTACAGTGGAACCACAAATTTAAATGTTCAACGATTTACAACTTTTCTTAAGGAATGAATGCAGACTTTGCCAAAACAACGAAATTAAATATCCACGAAAATGCTGGTTTTTCTCAATCCACGAAAATTGGTACACACAAAAATAAATGCATCACAGTATTCAAACTTATAAGTCCAAAACAAACTAACAATGCCATTAACAATAATTTTTTTCTCCTTTTATTAAAAATATTATGCTATATAAAAGTCTATATAATTAATTTTACAATCAATAGTTCATTAAAATGATTCAATTAGATTTTCTTGGATATATTGCAGAAATGTTCAAATATATATTTGTATGTAAAGTCATGTAAAATTTTCTATTATTTTTGTTATTACTTAAGGAATGACTGTAATATTTTTTCTGTCTATGAAGAAATAACATCAAACATGTGGTGTACACTGAATAACCAACGTAGCATGTTATTTAAAAGTGTGCACCACATTATTGAGGTTATTTTGAATAGACAGAAAAAATATTACAGTCTTTCCTTATTATTTAATTCAAAATTCCATTTTTAAGGAATAAATCATGAAAAAACGTTGATGACGTCACAGTCACATGACAAAATCATGTCTATGAGCTGATAGACAAAAAACTTTCAGCCAATCAGAAGATGTGTTACATCCAAAATTAAATTATATAACAAATAATTAATGATACTGCTTCAATAGGACTCATGATTTTTACCTTAATTTGATAAAAATTTATCCTTGTAACATAAACTTAAGTAAATGTGCACATAGCTATTTCTTTTTATTTCAAATTATTGCTGAAATTGCATAACAATAACATATACATCTGAGGAATACAGGATGAAACTCACAATAAACATTAAAAACTTGACTAGAAAAATTTTGAAAATGCTTTTGGTGATTACTCGTTGACACCCAATAGAGGCCCCCTGATACTGACATGACTTCTACTTAGGTTAAATTTGGCTTAAATTTTGAGCTTATCCGACATACTTATAATATAATATTGGTACATGTGACATGTTTTAAAATTGGATTATCTCCCATTAATCACTAAATCTCAATTAAAGTTAAGATATGTTCAAGTCATTATTACAAATGCATTTTACAAAAAATGTTTTATATGACAATATTGGTTAAATATAACTTATTTTGTACCTCAATATTTCTCTAATGGGCAATGTATGAAACTGAATTATTATCAAAAATAAGTTATTTTCAGTAGCCTCTTAAATAGAGTACTCACTTTTAAGACTTCAAAAAAGAACAAAAGCTCTGTGTTGAAGACCGTACTTTGACCTATAATGGTTTACTTTTATAAATTTTGACTTGGATGGAGAGTTGTCTCATTGGCACTCATACCACATCTTCTTATATCTAAATATATGAAAACTACATAGATTTATTTACAATTTCATTACAACTATATCTCAAACAACTTTCATTTTACTAGACCTTTGTCCATGTTGCCTCCTTTAAACATCAACTTTTTATTAAGAAAATGTATACTATATTCCTTTTGCTTCACCTATAATATTATCATGTTATATCTAATACCTCTGAGCAATAATGAAAAATAATAATTTATCAAAAATATATATCATAAACTTATTAATCATCAACAAATAACAATGCTGAAGTCTTCATCCAGATACCTAGGTTAAAGGTCATGAAGGGCAAAAAGTGTATTGTAGAAAGTGAAATTAATATTATTTAACAAGGAATGAAAAATGATTTTGGACTTGAAAGATGCATGTTTTTGCTGATTTAAAAGAATGATGGCGATTTCCTCCTTTCAGCATAAAAAATATGAAATTGACCGACTGTTTGTTGTTTTGTCATTTCACTTTCTAACCTTATATCACGACCATCTTGGCACAGGAAGCTGGAGTCTATGCTGGGAATCAACAATTTTGTATAGATAAAGGACCACCCTTATGACATACAGTTCCAAGTTGAGACCACATGTTTTGTGATTCACAAAGCTGGCTTCTAAATCATGGGCTATGCTGATCTGTACAGGGTAACCAACCACATTGACCACTCAGAAACCCAAACCCCATGTTAAAAGAAGTTGACAAACAATTCACAGGAAATTATCCTTCACAACCCTCAATCATGAATTTCTAGATTTGATACTTTAAATTCAAAACTTCTTACTAAAACTTTTTATAGGCTCTTTTTTGGTCATATAGCTCTTCAACTGTTCCCTTCTTATACATCCTTAAATATTTGGCTTAACGCGTTCCTGATGAAGGTAGATCCAGCAAAGAGCTTCGGACACTGGAAATTTATAGCGTGTTGTTTTCATTTCTATAAACATGATTGATTATTGCGATTTTTGAAAACATGAAACAAATGCAAGATTAATTATTGTGATTGCAGGAATTGCTACAAACAAATAATGATATTGAAATTAAAATGTGAGTTTTTACTTTAGTAAAACATATCCTATTACAATCATTTCTGAATTTACAATACCAATGATCATATCTTATAAAATCAAATATTACATATTGTTTTGATCACATTGTATTAATGTTTTTAAAAAGCTTCTAGCCTGAATCACATGTTCTATATAAATATAAAAACACAAGTTTTCCTAATTATAGTTTAATGACTAGTTTTCCCTGGGTACCAGTGTTATTAATTACATCATTATGAGCTGCAGATGACTGGTTTAAACTGTATTCCTTTCCTATATGTGGTTTAACCCAGCCCTTCTGCATACCAGTTTGTATGCTTGCATTCATTTCCTTCCAATCATCCTGTTACAATACAAATTACATATAGATATGTTAGTGAGAATTAAATATAGTATTTAAATTATTCATCAGGTTAATATGAATAAAAGGAGATTTGGGGTATAAATATATGAATATAGGTGTCAGACCACCATTTGAAAATCCCTATCTATTCAACCAAATTTTGCAATTTTCACAGCTTTCTAAATATTTTACCTTAAGTTTAACTTCATAGAAACCAGGTGTATCCTGAATTGTACATGTACCACCTTTCTACATGCCAATTTTCAACCCATGTTTAAATTGGAGTGGGTGAATTGGTTCATTTGTATGTTTCGGAGTTTAGTGTGACTTCCATTTCGCTGAAATAGTGGTTGCCTTGGGTTGTTTTCTGCTCTTTGGTCAGGTTGTTGTCTCTTTGACATAACACCGCATTCGCCAAATAACAAAAAATATGAAATTCCACAAAAACTGAAGATGTTTCTAAATTGGGAGAGGCTAAAGAAAATGTTGCATGGTTAAACTAGTTTTTTAGATCTCAAGTCTCCCCTGAATTCCAATGCCTACAAGGAGGATTAGGGATCTTACTGGATTCCAATGCCTACAAGGTGGATTAAGGATCTTACTGAATTCCAATGCCTACAAGGAGGATTAAGGATCTTACTGAATTCCAATGCCTACAAGGAGGATTAGGGATCTTGCTGAATTCCAATGCCTACAAGGAGGATTAGGGATCTTACTGGATTCCAATGCCTACAAGGAGGTTTAAGGATCTTACTGAATTCCAATGCCTACAAGGACGATTAAGGATCTTGCTGAATTCCAATGCCTACAAGGAGGATTAAGGATCTTACTGAATTCCAATGCCTACAAGGAGGATTAAGGATCTTACTGAATTCCAATGCCTATAAGGAGGATTAAGGATCTTACTGGATTCCAATGCCTACAAGGAGGATTAAGGATCTTACTGAATTCCAATGCCTACAAGGAGGATTAGGGATCTTACTGGATTCCAATTTCAACTGTAACATATATATATAATTCTTATATGATTTGCATATTTATAAATACTTGAATTGGATTGATCTGTTAGCATTTTCCCCTTGTTTTACATATTGATAGACCATGTCCCCGAAACTATTTTCCTAACCTTCACTGTGATCTATTCATGCACAATACAGATGCATGGGATCAAGGGTTCAAAAAAATTAAGATTGAAAAAACAATTACATAACTGTTATTTCTTTTCGTATGAATAAATAAAAAGAAATAATGCATTAAAGCTTGTAAAATGTATAAAATTACAATAAAATAAAATTCTGCACAATTTCATGAATGAGTTTGGCAAATTAACCCCATGGGAAAAATGACGTCATAGAAATAAAAACTCTCAAGCTAAAGATTATTCTGTGACTTGTACACTTTAAATTTGGATAATACCTCAGTAAAATGATGGTTTTTTAGGTAGGTGTTATTTCAATTTAGATTCTGTTGCATTAATGGAGCATTTGTGGATTTCAGAAAGTCATTTGGTGGTAAATAGTAGCTAATGAACCAAAAATTATTAATTAAAAATTGCAAATGTTTGGGTTGAGAATTAAATGGATTAAACACATTTTTTCTAGAGATTATTGATGTGTTAACTGGGTCGCTGACTCAAAAACTTTTCATAAATAATTTGTGAGTTAATCGCCCCAGTTTACACATCAATTACCTCTAGAAAAAATGTGTTTAATCCTATAAAATACTTATTCTTTTGAACTTTAATGTGAATAAAATTACAGATTACAAACTATATCTTTTTCTACATCTTCTGACATCCTTTTGAACACCTGTTGTAAATGAAATACTATATCCTACAATATCTCTGCCAACATTAACAACTGGCAAATACAACAAGATAAACACAGTGGCATGCCAAGCATACCCCCAAATTGTAATTCATTGTATTAAAACAGGAAGTTGGTTCTGACAGATCTAAAAAGCTACTAACCAAATGGAGAAATTTGTGATAACATATTTCAAAAGTTCTTGTAACATTTTGAAATCTTCAAATCATAAACAAACTGGTAGTAGGCGTCTTACAGATTTAACAAGACCAATACTGGGTCTGGACCTGTGTTGCTGCATGCACTAAATTGAGGTAACATGTATTTTAAAGCATAGCTAATATTAAAGAAAAAAAATGTGACTAAAATTTTCCTTGTACAATGACTGGTAAAATTTCAAAATATTAGCAAACAGGAAGAAGCTGCATGGGGCAGATTAAAATTTTATTACTCATTACATCTGGACATAATCAAGCTGCAGAAAAAAATGAATTATTCCCTTCAGTACGAGCCAATTAAAATTTGACTAAAAGTTTACTTGTACAATGAGTGCTGTAAAATTTCAAATGATTGGCAAACAGGAAGTGGCTGTAATCAAAGCCTTAAAGGCTGTTAAAGCAATTGCTGCCTAGTTAACACTACAAACTGCTCAGAGTCTGAAAAGACCAGTTTTTGTGCTCTACCAGTAAAGTCGAGCACAGATTTTACTCGACTAAACTCAAGATTGTCTCAACAGTACTTAATTGTACTTAACTGTACTCGACTTTGGTCTCGACTTTACTTAATGAGTCTGATTCAGTACTTGATGATCTTGGTGTAGTCTGAAATGGTCTCGACCAAGGCTCGACCAGTCTCGACCTGTCTCAACTATTCTTGACCTTCAAATTTAGTCTTGACTGAATCAGCCTATCTAACTAAATTAAATATTGATCTTACAAAAGTCCAGGTTATTTGGTAGTTGGTTCATTGCTGTTAAATTAAAGAAATTAATTAATAGGTAAAAAAAAAAGCAAAAGTTTTCAGTTTTGATTAAATTCAGATAGTCATCTTTAATTATTTCTATAACTTTTTCAAATCAACTTGGATTTTCATAAAACTATACAGCTATCTCAATTATACATTGATCTTACTGAATCCCAGGTTGTTATGTAGTTTGGTGTATTGCTGTCAAATTTAAGGATTTAATTAATAGGTAAAAAAAAAGCAAGAGTTTTCAGTTTTGATTAAATTCAGATAGTCATCTTTAATTATTTCCATAACTTTTTCAAATCAACTTGGATTTTTACAAAAGTCTACAGCTATCTCAATTATACATTGATCTTACTGAATCTAAGGTCATTATGTAGTTTGGTGTATTGCTGTCAAATTTAAGGATTTTATTAATAGGTAAAAAAAAGCTAGAATTTGCAGTTTCGAACTAAATTCAGATAGTTAACTTTAAATTTGTTTATTACTTTTTCAAATTAACTTGAATTTTCATAAAACTATACAACTATCTCAGTTGTATATTGATCTAACTAACTCCCAGGTTGACGTTGTTATGTTGTTTGGCATATTGCTGTCAAATTTAAGGATTTAATTAATCAAGGTAAAAAAGCTAGAATTTTCAGATTGGACTAAATTCAGATAGTTATCTTTAAATCTTTTTATAACTATTTCAAAGCAACTTGGGTTTTCATCAAAATCCACAGCTATCTCCATTATATAATTATCTTAAAATATACCAGGTTATTTGTTAATTTGGTTTATTACTGTCAAATTTAAATATTTAAATTATAAGTATCTGTCTGAATTTTGTCAAAACTGAAAATTTCAGCCTTTCCTATCTATTACCTAAGTCCTTAAATTTGACAGCAATACACTAAAATACAAAACAACCTGGCATTCTGTAAGATAAATATATAATAAAGATAGCTGAAAGATTGATGAAAATCCATACTGATTTGAAAAAGTTATGAAATATTTAAAGGTAACTATAAGAATTCAATGCAAACTAAAAAATTTAACATTTAAAATAAATTTCTCTTTAACTGACATGGCAATAGACACAATAAGATAAAGATATATATAAAAACAGATTTTTACATCCTTACATGATTCTCAGATTTATCAAATAGAGATAATTAAATCAAATTATCTTAAATGGTTTGGCATGTGTTTTTTTTTTCTTAAACCTAATTTTCCTAAATTCTTAAAAAAAACTACATAGGCTTCATGGTTACATACAATAGTTATATAATTATCTTTTTAATGAGGTATCAACAGCCAACAAAATCATTGAAATTGTTTAATAAAATTGAGAATGGAAATGGGGAATATGTCAAAGAGACAGCAACCTGACCAAAGAGCAGACAACACAAGAAGGCCACCAATGGGTCTTCAACACAGCGAGAAAATCCTGCACCCGTAACCTTATATTAGAAATATATCTATTTTTATAATTTGGGATATAGTATATATAATATATATCAAAAGCGGATAAAAAGTTAAAGAAATTAATAAAATTGTTCTTCTGATTAGTGGTGAAGTATAAAGTAATACCTCCTACCTGGGGAAAAGTTCACAATCAGACAATATTTTGTTCGTGTACAAATTCACAAAATCGGGCAGGGCGTATTAAAAAGAGTACATGGTGTCAGTCGGGAAAGCACGGGTAGACCGCCCTATGAAAACGATCAAACTGGTACGAGGTCAATGCTAGAGAGATCTATTTTTTAACCATCAAATGAAAAGACAATGGTCATGCATTGTGGAGGGTCATTATGACATTTGACATTGTTTCGAGATCTTGATTTTTATATTACTATAAAATGCGTAGTGATTTTAGGATAATTTTATGAAAGAACGAAGATTTAGTGAATGAACAAGAGCAACTTGACCTCTTTCAAAAAAGAAACATGACTTAAATAACATTAAACCGTATAAGGTATAATTCAGTCAAACTTTCAATATTAAATCAACAGCTGACATGTTTCAATATTTTGATGAAACGTCTCAAGAAGGAAATGGCAGGTATAAAAAATGCACTTTCTCACTTTGCCTTCTACGTTCCTTGATAAGTCAAACGGTTGTCCTCTTAAATACAAAAATACATCTACAAGAACATATGTTGAAACTTCACAAACCCACTGTTGTTTTCCAACTGTTTCAATTAATGTATTCCATTAGAAAACATACAGAGGATTTTTTGAATGACAGATGAGGAATCAGTTTTATCTGCTCAAAAACTTTGGCTTGATCCATCTGGGTCACAAAGATAGCTATATGCCATAGCATGAAAGCAATTGCTTTAAAAACTGCTTACTGGCAACAATTCAACATTTTGATACAAACCAAATATTAAAATCATTCCCCTTGATAGGAGCCAAGAAAGTTTGACAAAAATTTTCCTAGTGAAAGTGAATGCACGGCTGATGTCAAAATTGCTTACTCACTACAACTCAACATAATTAAGCTACAGATTAAATAAAAAAATAATCTCATCCCATAGAAGCCATGAAAACATTGACAAAATTTTTTTCCACCCAAGGTCTTTGGACGGATGGACAGACTGTGGAGCGGTTACTAGACCTGCTTTCGCCACACTCAACTACTTCAAGGTGCTGACCAATCTTTTCAGAAGTTCTGGAGAAATATTTCATAGAAATATCTGTTGGATGAACATACAGTCACAGACAAATAGACAGAAAAATGGACAGACTAACTGACAGTAAAAATACAAATATTGATGCTTTGATTTGAATATATACTTACTGGTGTCGAGTTCATCAATATAATACCTGTCATAATACATTATTTGGCCATAGTGAATCTGGGATTTATTTATAAATACTTACAGGTGTAGAATTCATCAAAATAATACCAGTCACAATACATTCTTTGGCCATAGTGAATCTGGGATTTATTTCTATAGAGCCTCTATTTCCAACAATCTGAAGGAGAAAAACTGATACAAACATGGGATCCAAATAACATCTCACAAATACTGTACTTTAAAGCTTATGCTTTTTTATTGCTTTTTCAGTTTTTGTATTAGTTGATATTAGCTACTGATTTAGATACTAATTTAAAATGCTGGGTTTACCGATAAATACAGTCAGGGTGGGTCTTTTCACCACTGAACACCACCGCACACCCCCGAACACCCCAAAAAACACCAACCACTAAGAAAAACAGTGATATTATACAATAAAACGATAAAATTACGTATAATTGAATCAATTTTTAGAATTTTTATGTGCATCATTTTTCTGTTAAAGTCGATAATCAATATAATCAATATAATGAAAAAGGTCTCCAAGTTCATCACTTTTTTTCCGGGATTACATTGTGTGTACAATATATATTTCAAATAAAATTCAAATATATTCATAATTAGTAATCAGTTCAAGTATCCTCGATCTCTGTTTATTGGTTAGATTTTGATATTTGTCTCTTTTCTTATTATATTTATCATGTTTATTGGTACAAATATTTTATAGGAGAAAAAAAAATGAAAAAAATAAATATTTGAGGTGTCCAGTGGCAGTGGTGGTTTGCGGAGTTGTGGTCTTATAAGACTCTCCTTTTCTGTTCGATGTAGATATTTGGTCTCTTAATCTTATTATTTGTTGAAGTAATAACTTAAATATTATATTTAGGTCACATTTATAACAATAAAAGATAAAAAAAAAAGATTTTGGGGTGTTCGGTGGTGTTCGGCAGTGTGCGGTGGTGTTCGGTGGTGAAAAGACCTACCAGCCCTGACAGACTTTATTTTGCGTGCAGTATGCTAATGTTCAAACTCTGACTTGAAACTAATGCTTATAAACTTTAATTTAATTATTTTTACAATATCAGTTATAAATTAACTTTTTTTCATATTTGCCATTTTTTTTTTAATATCAATTGATTTGGGATCATAAATACTTTTGAGAAATTTATCTTAAGCTTTAAATTGACAAGAACTTTTCCTAGTCATTATTCAAATATTATAAAATTTGCTCTGATTGTATTAGTCAATGTTTGCTCAATTTCCTCAATTGAAAAGTGTCATTTCATGGCTGTATAACCCATGAAAAAGAAAATTGTTTTAACTAAAACTGCATGTTTATAAAAGATCATGGATCCAACATTTACCGGTAATCCTGAAAATTGGAGAAACGTTAAAATACCATTTGATAATTAATTTGACCCTAAATTGTATGTTTTCCTCTGAAACATTATTTCTAACTTACCACTATTCTACCTTTCTTCTTTATCATATTTAAATCTTTGTCTAAGTTTACATTGGCTAACATTTCTATTATCATGTCAGGACCTTCACCTTTTGTTGCATCCTGAAAGTGGAAGGTATGAGAAACAACAACACATAACAATGTACAGTCAAACCTGTATATAAAGGTCACACCAGACACCATAGGTATGAGTAACAACAATACATAACAATGTACAGTCAAACCTGTATATAAAGGTCACACCAGACACCATAAGTATGAGTAACACCAATACATAACAATGTACAGTCAAACCTGTATATAAAGGTTTAACCAGAGACCATAGGTATGAGTAACAACAATACATAACAATGTACAGTCAAACCTGTATATAAAGGTCACAACAGACACCATAGGTATGAGTAACAACATTAAAAAATAATGTACAGTCAAACCTGTATATAAAGGTCACACCAGACACCATAGGCACAAGTAACAACAATACATAACAATGTACAGTCAAACCTGTATATAAAGGTTTCAACAGAGACCATAGGTATGAGTAACAACAATCCATAACAATGTACAGTCAAACCTGTATATAAAGGTTTCAACAGAGACCATAGGTATGAGTAACAACAATCCATAAAAAATAATGTACAGTAAAACCTGTATATAAAGGTCACACCAGAGACCATAGGTATGAGTAACAACAATCCATAACAATGTACAGTCAAACCTGTATATAAAGGTTTCAACAGAGACCATAGGTATGAGTAACAACAATCCATAAAAAATAATGTACAGTCAAACCTGTATATAAAGGTCACACCAGAGACCATAGGTATGAGTAACAACAATCCATAACAATGTACAGTCAAACCTGTATATAAAGGTTTCACCTGAGACCATAGGTATGGGTAACAACAATACATAACAATGTACAGTCAAACCTGTATATACAGGTCACACCAGAGACCACAGGTATGAGTAACAACAATACATAACAATGTACAGTCAAACCTGTATATTAAGGTCACATCAGAGACCATTGGTATAAGTAACAACAACACATAACAATGTACAGTCAAACCTGTATATACAGGTCACACCAGAGACCATAGGTATGAGTAACAACAATCCATAACAATGTACAGTCAAACCTGTATATAAAGGTTTAACAAGACACCATAAGTATGAGTAACAACAATCCATAACAATGTACAGTCAAACCTTATATAAAGGTCATATCAGAGACCATAGGTATGAGTAACAACAACACATAACAATATACAGTCAAACCTGTATATACAGGTCACACCAGAGACCATAGGAATGAGTAACAACAATCCATAACAATGAACAGTCAAACCTGTGTATAAAGGTTTCACCAGACACCATAGGTATGAGTAACAACAATCCATAACAATGTACAGTCAAACCTGTATATAGAGGTTTCACCAGAGACCATGGTATAAGTAACAACAACACATAACAATGTACAGTCAAACCTGTATATAAAGGTTTCACCAGACACCATAGGTATGAGTAACAACAATTCATAACAATGTACAGTCAAACCTGTATATAAAGGTCACATCAGAGACCATAGGTATGAGTAACAACAACACATAACAATATACAGTCAAACCTGTATATACAGGTCACACCAGAGACCATAAGTATGAGTAACAACAATACATAACAATGTACAGTCAAACCTGTATATAAAGGTCACACCAGAGACCATAGGTATGAGTAACAACAATCCATAACAATGTACAGTCAAACCTGTATATAAAGGTCACATCAGAGACCATAGGTATGAGTAACAACAACACATAACTATGTACAGTCAAACCTGTATATAAAGGTCACATCAGAGACCATAGGTATGAGTAACAACAACACATAACAATCTACAGTCAAACCTGTATATACAGGTCACACCAGAGACCATAGGTATGAGTAACAACAATACATAACAATGTACAGTCAAACCTGTATATAAAGGTTTCACCAGAGACCATAGGTATCAGTAACAACAATACATAACAATGTACAGTCAAACCTGTATATAAAGGTCACACCCCAGACCATAGGTATGAGGAACAACAATACATAACAATGTTCAGTCAAACCTGTATATATTGGTTTCACCAGAGACCATAGGTATGAGTAACAACAATACATAACAATGTACAGTCAAACCTGTATATAAAGGTCACACCTGAGACCATATAAAAAGTACCTTTCCATTGAGATTCTAAATGCATAAGGATAGCTACAGCTGGAAAATAAAGGAGAGGTTGACCTAATAAGAAAGTTTTGACTAATTAATAGAGGTAACTTTTATAGCAGGTTTCATTGTATTTTTAAGAACAGCTTTGTTCTACCTAGTTACAATAAAATGCTCCGCAGGGCGCAGCTTGATACGACCGCAGAGGTCGAACCCTGAACAGTTGGGGCAAGTATGGACACAACATTCAAGCTTGATACAGCTTTGCATTTGGATTGTGATTAAATATTTGACACAGCATAGGTTTCTTACACAGAATGAATGTGGTCTAAGAACTTAAAAATTTTAAATTGGATATTCAACTATTCTGGTCCAATATCCAAAATCTAAATATATGGTTAGATTCAGCATATCAAAGAACCCCAAGAATTCAATTTTTGATGAAATCAAACAAAGTTTAATTTTGGACCCTTTTGACATCAATGTGGACAAAGTTGATAATGGGGCCCAAAAATCAAAAATCTAAATACATGGTTAGATTCAGCATATCAAAGAACCCCATATATTCAATTTTTGTTGAAATCAAACAAAGTTTAATTTTGGACCCCGATTTGGACCAACTTGAAAACTGGGCCCATAATCAAAAATCTAAATACATGTTTAGATTCAGCATATCAAAGAACCCTAAGAATTCAATTTTTGTTAAAATCAAACTTAGTTTAATTTTGGACCCTTTGAACCTTTATGTAGGCCAATTTGTAAACGGAACAAAAAATTAAGAATCTAAATACACGGTTAGATTCGGCATATCAAAGAACCCCAATAATTCAATTTTTGATGAAATCAAACAAAGTTTAATTTTGGACCCTTTGGACCTCAATGTGGACCAATTTAAAAACGGGGCCCAAAATCCAAAAACTAAATACAGGGTTAGATTCAGCATATTAAAGAACCCCAAGAATTCAAGAATAAAACCCCATTGAAATTGGTCAAGAAATAAGCAATTTATACGAAGTATCTTCTTTTGCAATTAAATATTTCTTGCTATTGCGCAATACTGTACAATTGACAATTTCTTGCTATTGCGCAATATTGTGCTATTGGATATTTCTTGCTATTGCGCAATACTGTGCAATTGAAGATTTCTTGCTATTGCGCAATACTGTGCAATTGAAGATTACTTGCTATTGTGCAATACTGTGCAATTGAAAATTTCTTGCTATTGCACAATACTTATTATATAATAATTTACACATCCTGTTTGGTGTGTATCTCCTACCATATCATTATTATTTGCTTTTAAATATAAATCAGAAATAACCAACTTAAAATGGAAAATTTTAAAAGAAAAAAAAAAGGCAAAAAAGAAAAAAAAGGAAAAAAAAAAAAATCCCCCCCCCAAATTTTTTGAACCCCCTTATGATTCATCACCCCAAAACTCAATCCCAGCCTTCCCTTTGTAGTATGGTACCTTGCAGTACAATTTCAGAGAGATCCATACACTTGAACACAAGTTATTGTCTGGAAACTATAAAAATGTGTTTTTTGGCCCCTTTTTGGCCCCAATTCCTAAACGTTTAGGGCAATTACCCCCAAACTCAAACCCAGCTTTCCCTTTGTGATATGGAACCTTGTAGTACAATTTCAGAAAGATCCATACACTTACACACAAGTTATTGTCCTGAAACTAGAAAAATGCTTGTTTTTTGCCCCTTTTTTGCCCCTAATTCCTAAAATATTGAGGCAATTACCCCCATCATCAATCCCAGCCTTCCCTTTGTGGTATGGTACCTTGCAGTACAATTTCAGAGAGATCCATACACTTGAATACAAGTTAATGTCTGGAAACTAGAAAAATGCTTATTTTTTGCCCCTTTTTGGCCTCCAATTCCTAAACGTTTCGGCAATTACCCCCAAACTCAATTCCAGCTTTCCCTTTGTGATATGGAACCTTGTAGTACAATTTCAGAAAGATCCATACACTGACACACAAGTTATTGTCATGAAACTAGAACAATGATTGTTTTTTGCCCCTTTTTTGGCCCCTTATTCCTAAAATTTTGAGGCAATTACCCCCAAAATCAATCCCAGCATTTCTTTTGTGATATGGAACCTTGTGGTACAATGTCAGAGAGATCCATACACTAACACACAAGTTATGTCTGGAAGTTACAAAAATGCTTATTTTTGGCCCCTTTTTGGCTCCTAATTCCTTTACTGTTGGTACCATAACCCCCAAAATCAATCCCAACCTTCCTTTTGTGGTATTGAACCTTGTGGTGAAATTTCATAGAGATCCACTCACTTAAACTAAAGTTAGAGTGCGAAAACCAATGTGTCTTCAGACGACGCCGGACGACAACGACGTCATACCAATATACGACCACAAAAATTTTTTTGCTGTCGTTTAAAAAGGAAGTGTTCTGAAGTAACAATAGTTAGAGGCAGCTGCATTTAATTGGAATAAAAACATTTTTCATAAACCATGTGGATTGTCCTGAAATGCAACATTTTGATGAAGATTGACTGTTTTAAACTTAACATACACTACCCATAAACAGGAACCTCCTAGTCCAAGCTTCAGTGTTTGGATTTGAGTTCATTTCCCTATCCTTAATTTTTTGGCCAAATATTTATTATGTCTATTTTTCTCTATTCTTTATTTTTGTTTTTTTTTTTCTATTTCTCAATTTTTGGTTCTTTTTTCTACTCTTTAATTTTTGGTTCTTTTTTCTATTCTTTAATTTTTGGGTCTTTTTTCTGTATTCTTTATTTTTCCTGTCCTCTATTCTCTTATTTACCCATTATTCTCTATTCTGTTAACTCCATCCAGACCCTCAAACATTCTGCAATATGAACATCAATTCTTTCTTATATTTTAAGTAGAATTAGGGTTTGTGTTAATTAATCTTTTGTGACTGCTGCTTTAATATCATGCACTTTTGATTCATGACCTTTAAACAAACAGTTGTTAGCAATGAAGCATTTATTTTTTCTGGAAATCCATATTATTTCTATCTGTAGAAGGGAACAGTATTCTGTAAAAAGACTTTTGAGAGAAGAAAAATCATAAAACACTGTGAATATGTAAAACTTCCATTTTTCCTTATATGAATACATAAAGAAAACAAGAAAGTCACAAAAATAAATCTTTAATCACCACAAAGTCAGCTAGAAAGAGCTAAGCGTGAAATAAAGTATCGACAAAAAAATAAGTTGGTTTACAGTATCTAATGCATCCATTCAATTTACTAATGTAAATTAACTCATAGTCTTATTGATGCCAGCATTGAGACAGAAGGAACACTGCACTGTCAAAGTTACATTCTATTGTCTGTTCATACAATATTAATACTATGACTACTTTAAAGTCAACTGTGAAACATTCAAAATAACAAATGCATGAATTAAATTCAGAAGTTTCAAAGCATTTGATCAAACCAGATAAAAAATTGGTTAAACATGTTTTCTTTTAAATTACATGTAGATAAATGTTTACAATCATGCTGTCTTCATGATGACATGATGACGCAGTTAGTTGTTTTAAAGTTGTAAAGGAGTGCGACATGTGGAGCAGGATCTGCTTACCCTTCAGGGACACCTGCTTTCACCTACATTTTGTATTGTTTTTGTATTTTTTTTTGGGGGGGGGGGGGGGGGAGGAAGGATGTTTACTCAGTCTTTACTTTTTTATGTTGTGTTTTGTAGACTGTTGTCTATCTGTTGTTGTTTTTTTTGTATTTTACAATGATGTTGTCAGTTTGTCTTTGACTTATGAGTTTGAATAACACTTTTGTATCTTCTGCCTCAGTTTTAAAGCCAAGTGTAGTGTTTTGTAAATTTTTGTTTGTTTGTTTTACCTTTTTTCTTTTGGATGTACTGTTTCTTTCTTTCACATGGTTTTTCATTGCCCTCTTTGTATTTTATTGAATTGTTTTACATTTGTCATCTCAGGGCCTTTTATAGCTTGCTATTTGGTATGAGTTTTGCTCATATGGTGAACTTTAGTTGCTATCTTCTATGTCATCTTGGTCTCTCTGTCATAAAACTTTATTCAGTATTCAGTACAAAATGTGTGCTAGAATAACCTAATCCATTAATTTGATTGGTTGATTTCTGAGTTTGAGTATGATAATCATACTTAAAGGGAAAATTCGCGATTTTTGACTTATCATCTTATTATGTTCATAATATCGTTAAAAACATATTCACCAAGTTTTATCTGGATATGAAAACTAATAAAGAAGAAAATTGGGAATTATTAATTCTATTTATTCAAACTTCCTGACTTATGTGACGTAGTTTAAGTCTTTTTGCATGCCGGGAGTGGATTAATCTCATTTAAAGTCTTGTTCGTTAATCATCTAATAACGCGATTTAAAGCGCATCAACGACTTTTGGTGTAGCTATTAACCAACTAACAATTCAGAAAGAAAAGTGATCAGCCGTGCATTTTTTTAAATTAAAATTTACGATTTATATTTTAAGGATTTTGATATAATTATAATAATAAAAGCAAATCATACAATCGAATTTTTTTATGATTTTTTTTTCGACGGATATGTTGAACAACATATATAACTGATAGTATAATAGAAATTCACGTTTGTATTCTCCCCTATTACTTCAGTCGAGGATTTGTCTTACTATACAAATCCTGGCTTCAGTCTAGTACTGTGTAAATACAATGCATGTGTATTATGCTAACACCACCTGGTAAAGGCGTGGTTAAATTCACGGTAATTAAAAGATTAGCATTATGTAATTTTAATCCTTTGATCTTCACTAGAGTGGTGTTTGTCCTCAAGGGTTCACCGTTGCAGGTATGAGACAGATTTTTTTTAATTATTAAGGGAGGAATATGGTGGCAAAACACCTTAATCGCCGTTATATATATATTTTTTTAACATTTTGCATTTGCTCAGTTTTTAAATAAATAGGTGAGTATTTTGTTGTAACATCGAAATTCTGAATCACTTTTAATAAAATAATTATATAAATATTATAAATGGCCCACGAAAACGAGCGTATAAATCAAAACAGTACTATTTTAAATTATCATCGGTAACCTTGAATATTTAAATGTGCAGAGAAAATTATCAGTTACGAAAATATAGTTTTGTCGTCCAAAGCGATCTTCATTTACCTAATCAGGAATGCCCTTATTGAAATATTATAAATCTCACAACGTATTTATATAATTCTTAAGCTATTTGACCAACGATGTTTAAAAAAATTAACAGAATCAATCTAACGTCAACTTTCCTTTTTTAAATGTAGACAGAACGGCGAAATCAATTTTCAATGTGCTTGATATCTTGTACCTTTGTAAGACTTATCATTCATTCATAAACCCACTCTAAACCAGAGACATATATATACGTCTGTTTAAACTGACAAGAAAACTCCTAAAGCGGACAAGCAGTATATTCTGTAAATTTCTGAGATTTAATACAAAGAAATAAAAAAAAATCCCGAAATTAATTTGATCCTGGAAAATATTCACATCCTCATTCGGTCTGAAAAAAAGATACGAATTTGGTATACAGAACATGCAGAAGTGTGAATGTTATAAAACCTAATTGTTATATCAGAAACCATTATAAATATAAACATGTATACGTAAGACCTCATGGGACGTCACCTAACCACATTCAGGTAATATACAAGTAGCTCTGTTATACCCGGAAATGTCAACGTTAATCATAGATAGATAGACATGACCTCAGACTCCCCCCCCCCCCCCCACACCAAATCGAGGAACAGTATATCTTACAATGTGTATATTCCTGCAAAAATTAAAAAAAAATGAGAAAAAAGAAAGAGATGAACGGTAAGTCACATCAGATTCAGATATTTATATATAGTTGCTTGTCGTTAAATAGAGATCTAGTGTATACATGTCTCTGCGTTAACTTATAAAAATAAAAGGAAATAATAAACTTGAAATAGATTTATGATGAATACTTTGCAACTGCGACACCCCTTTTTATCACAGCGTACATGCATGCATTTAAATGACTGTCCGTTATGCGATTAAGAATGACAATCGTACGTACAATCCTATAGTTCATGGTGAGTCCTTTTCTATTAGATATGCGACTTTTCGTATTTATATTTTCTCTTATATTACCGGTACTGTCATTTAATATCTAATGCATAAGTGCAATATTAAGTGTGGTTAAATCCCCTACAAGCTAACTAAATAAATTAACCAACCCTCTAGCTGACCAGACGTTAATACAACTACCATCAGTCTATCCTGAGTGAAGTTTCTTTATTTCTTCAAATAGGCTTTTGGGGATCATTAGTGCACGTCCAATGGCATATATATAACATGCATGTCGGACCAGGAAAATGTGATGATGACGAATTTCTTAAACTGTTCGAAATAATCTTATTGAAATATAAATCTGTGATCTTACTATGTCTATAGCTTCGATGAACCAAAGCAAGTTAGATATCGACCTGTATTTAAATCAGATTGGTTCTGGATGTTTCTCTCGTATATTCAATATACTTGTATAATATCAGTTCTATATTGCGACTATCCATAGTTCCCTATAAACCTTCCATCTAGGCGTGTAAACCAATGATCAACAAGTGCCGCACATTTTGTTAAATCAATATTTGTATGTTTCAAAATGTTCATAATTATTGACAACGAGTATATACTTACATTTTCCCCAATATACCCTTGGAAAATGTGTTAATAGATTTTTATATCATCAAATCTTTTTTTTTTTTTTTTTAATTATTTAAATTTTCATAAATATCATTCTTTACACCAAAAATGTTATTTATAAACAAGCGTATGAGTTCAGCAATGACTAGTATATCACTATCGGATACGCTAGACAAAGTTGTATATTACACCTGATAGATTCAAAATGGAAGTTACATGTTATCGGCCGTGTACACTGATCAATACCCCCAGAAAAAAAGTGATGCACGAACTTGTTTTATGTAATTGTGTAATAACAGTTTTAAAGCCCGACAGGAAATCGCTTGAATACCTGTACGTGTCACCTCACAATACCTCTGGGAACAATTCCTTTAGCCATTCTGGTGATCAGATAAGTGAAGGTCCGAATTTATTTTAAAAAGTTTATTACATAAAACAATTATGAACAAACTAGATTTTCAAAAACAATTTTACATGGAACACTTATTTATGACTTTGAACTTTGATTTTTTAACTAATTTCAATTTCTTGTTTTAAATACTTCGTAAACAAAACAGTTTCAAAACGACAGACCATACTATTAGTACTAGTTATTTAAAAAATAATATATATAAAATTACATTTTCCGTATCAAGTTAGTTAGGAAAGGTTGCACAACCATGTCTATCATAATCTTTTTTGTGACCCGTGAAACTGTTTATGCTTTCCTTGTCGGATAAAACAACCGTACGCTTGACAAGATATCGACACTCTATTACGGCTACGTTAGGTTACTGCTTGTTTTGGTCCTTTGTGGTTTATAGATATATCGTGGTCAATATTCGGGGAGGATGTCAAAATGGCCGCATGTGGAGAATTGATACTCTAAATTTAAAATCGATGGTGATCTCTTAACTTACAGAATAAAACTTTAATATCTATGAATTTGTATTTTTTTATACATAATGAACAGAATATGAATTTTTCATTTTTTTGCGAAGTTTCCCTTTAATTTTTTTATGACTACAAGACCTGGTCTCTGGTAGAGAGCTGTCTCATTGGCATTCATACCACATCTTCTTACTTTTATATTATATTTTATACTTCAACATTTACCATTATCTGCTGTGTGTAGTTATCAGATTTGTGATTGAAAACAAAATCACATCCATTATCTTCCACTATGTCCATTCCAGCCTTTGATCCTGCCGTTCCTAAAACTGTCAAACCTAAATTCTTTGCTAACTGAACACAAGCTAGTCCTACCTGAAATCAATGCAAAAAAAAAGATAATTGTATTTATAAATTTACAAACCATCCGTACTGTAATATCTTAATATCTATGAATAACTGAGTGGATTCATTTGATTTCATGGATTTGGAAAAGTTTGTATACAACTAGCCTATAGATGGGAAATTTATACTTCATTTAACATCTAATTTGTGGTTTCCCTATCTATACCCACAAAGACAACTAGACACCCCACAAAAAACAATCAATCTACAGTATGTGTCAAGAAGTTAAGGATCCCAAAAAGTTGGGATTTAATTTGATCAAGACCAACCAAGATCTGTCATTAATATCAAAATTCCTGAATGACAAAAAACATATTATATCACAAAATACAGGCACTAGAAAGGATCTTGACTTTTGAAAAGAAAATAATTTCAGAGGCAGTTGGGGGGGATTTCCACTAATTTCACTATCATGGTAAAATGCAGAAATAATCTCCTCATGATTCAAGTCCCCTTAAGCTTCTAAATAGTAAGGTGGGATGCCTCCTTTTTGCGGATGATCTTTTGATCCTGTCAGAAACGAAAGAGGGTCTTCAAAACACTTTAGGACATTAAGCAACCAACAATCAATCAATCAATCAAAACACTTTAAATAATGTTAAATTATATTGCAACAAATGACAACTCTCTTTAAATACAAACAAAACAAAATCCATGATTTTCAGTCAGTCCAAACAAAATGGTGAAACATCACATATTTACTATGAGAATGAAGCCATAGAGAGCGTATCAGAATATTCATTTTTGGGAATGTTGATAAAATGTAATGGAAATTTATCACAAAGTACTTTAGAGCTGACAAAAAAGGCAAAAAAAGTATTGTTTGCAATATAATCCTATACTAAATCATTGAATAATCTACCTATAAAAGTAGCAAATAATCTTTTTGATTCTTTAGTAAAACCAATTATGACCTATAATTCAGAAGTAACATATTTGGATACATATATTTTTTTTCATAAAGCCAAAAACAGAGCCTTATCTTCAGGAAAACAAATTAATCAACTTGATCTTACAGACAAAACCCCTATTGAAAGTATGCATCTTAAATTTTGTAAATCTACTCTAGGAATAAGAAAAAATGCATCCAAATTAGGAGCAAGAGTTGAATTAGGAAGATTGCCTATAGAATGTTTTATTAAAACACAAACCCTTTTATATTTAGCTAGACTATATAATAATAATATTAATCCATTGATAAAGGAAGCTTTTTCTCTAGTACAGTCTCTAGATTTGACTGGAACTTATTCATGGTATACATATGCAAAAAATATTGTTGAAGAGACTAATATTGACCTTAGTATTCTTTCTAATTGTAAGGACATAAAAGATGTAAATAAAATAAAAAATGATAATATAAAGTTAAAAATGAAAAATAGATATGAAGATTTAATTGAAACTGAATTTGAAAACATTGATGATAAAAGTAAATTTTATCTATATAAAAAACTTAAAAAAGATTGCAAACTCCAATCTCATCTAAATATATCTAATTTTCAGATAAGGAGATTGATCACTAAATTTAGACTAAGTGATCACTCCCTCTTAATTGAAAAGGGGAGATATTTTAAAATCCCAAGAGAGGAACGACTTTGTCATAAATGTAAAATACTAGAGGATAATGAGAAACATTTTTTACTCTATTGTGATTATAATACAACACTAAGAAATGCCTTTTTTGAACACAGATGTACTGAAAATAATAACTTTAATAATTTAAATGAAGAAGAAAAAATTCATTATTTACTAAATCCATGAACGCCTTTACAAACAAATAAGTTAGGATCCTTCTTGAAAAAAGTCATTAGAACTGAGGGCAGGGGACTCTTAACAGCTTGTTTGTTTTTATAAATTTTGATGCTGTTTTTATTGTGTTTGTTTGATATGTATGTATATATGTTTATTGTGTTAATACATGTTGGTCACAAACTGTAAAGTTTATACGACAATAAAATATTTGTTTTGTTTGATTTGTTAAAAAAAAATAAAAATTGTACAAAACACCAATATAAATGTGAAGGGTCGCATGCACTAATATCATAGGTGAATGTTAAACTCCTGTATGAAAAGTGAAAAGTTCCTTTGTAATTGAATCTTGAAAATTCCAACTATAAAGTATTTTCCTTGTTTACAAGAAGGTCATCCATTAATTTCAGTCATTTAACATGAAAAACTACATTACTCAATAATCAATAAAAATCTAATAAAAAGTCATGTATGTAAGTAATATGTAGCAGTTTTCAACAAACAGCCATATTAAGCTTCAAACATTATAATGTACTAAAAATATCAATAATCATTGAATCAAATCTCATACTGTTTGATTCTAATCAAAACCATCCCCTACGAAGTGTTCTTTACAATATATGGTTAATTAATTTTTCACTAACAAAACACTACACTGTAAATGGTTCTGTCATGGAATATTAGCTTCCAACCTGCAGAACAAATAAAACATGAAAAAAACCTTCATTCTGACATATTTAGATCTTTTCATCTACAAAACATTTAGGTTAATGACTTTTTATTAGCTTAATGTTGACAGGGTCTACAGTAAGTAGAACGATACAATTTTCCCATACTTTACCAAAAATTTAGCTTACATCGTGCTACTTTTTCAAAAACATAACAAAAAGTAATATAGGTCTCCAAGCTTATTTTTATTCCAAAAATTGTCAGAGAGTTTTTGGATTAATTATTCAAGGAAAAAGCACTTTGTTAAATGGCTTTTATTTCATGCTTTCAGAAAATAAAATAAAAATTTGGACCATCCACATTACCCTGTACTATTATGGTCAACATAAACGTTTTCTTGCTATACAACAAAAATTTGTAAATTTACTGTATATTCCTTTATAAAACTTAAATATCTGAATTATATCCCCTAATATAACAGTAGTATAGGTCGTTAAAAAAAAACCTTGTTGCGTATTACTCTGACTATATCCTTTTTGTCTGATTATAAAGAAAAATATATTCTAAGATGCTTCAAATTTCAGCAGAATTTATAGGAGGGTCTGGATGGGGGTCTGGATAGGGGTCTGGATGGGGGGTCCTTCATTTCTTTATGCTTTTAATTTTTTATGTCATTTTTCTCTATTCTTTATATTTCTTTATTTTTGGCCTTTTTTTCTATTTTTTTATTTTTTTTTGCCCTTTATTCTGTATGTTGCAAGAACTACTTTCCTAACCTAGGAAACACTATGACAATTTCACTATGATATATGGCTATAAGCATAAATGCAATCATTAGGCCACCCTTAACAAATTCTTTGTTGATGTTGCCTACCCATGCCTTGTAGGGTTGGGTAGGTAGGTAGGTAGGTAGGTAGGGATCTTTTTTTTTTTTTTTTGGGCCATTAAAATAAGTTACATATTATAGACAAGAAAACGATGTTAGAGCAAGAAAACAAATTTTTAAACAATTTGTGTCGTAAATTTTTTCGGGTAGGCTACTTTAAAGATGGGTAGGTAGGTACTGAACATCAAACAATTCTAATTTTATTTTTGGTATTGGGTTTCAAGAAATTAAAGAAAAAAAAACTAGATGTGTCGGAACTATATAAATGTGCTTGCAAACAAAGCTTGAAGACATTTTTAGGAGTGGAGTTTTCAAAGTCCAAAACCTGTAATTTCCACAAAATTCAGCAGAGCGGAACCAAACATAAACTTGATCTATAACTCATCATAATTAACTCACATACTAAAAATCAGCTAAATATGTAAAGGTTTATAAAAAAAAGTCTGTATATTTCTTATTTTCACGAAATTTTCAACGCCCAAAGCCCTTAATTTCAGCAAAAATCAGCCTAGCGGAACCAAACATAAACTTGATCTGTAACTCATCACAGTAGACTCACATATTTAAAATCAGGTCAATATGTGAAGGCATTTAGAAAAAAAGTCTGCATAGGTGTTGTTACAGAATGACGGAATGACAGATAAGAATAAAACAATATGGTTTCGACCTAAGTCAGCGGGGCCATAAAAAATGTTACTTTGAGAATTGTAAGGATTAAACACATTTTAAACACAGGTTATTAACTTTTATTCAGTTTGTCAGTTAATTCATGGCCCCCCAATAACCTCTAGAAAAAGTGTTAATTCCTTGAATATTCATTTTTTTTCTTCAAATCTTTATTTTACATATGACAATGGATAAAGTTCACTAAGTATAGATATACTGTTTAAGGGAAATGCACTTTTCTAAATAATAGTTTTTGTAATGTCAACAGTCGTTTCCTCAATATTCGATTTATTAGTTAATTGAAGCTGCTTTTAAACTTCTTATTTACATAATTTCAATTTATTTAATGATCCATACCCAGTCAGACATAAATGACAACAATGTTCTAACGTAAATGAACTGTTAATAAAATTAATTACATCTAATGGTCATGTTTAATGTTATAGTTCCTTTTCTTTATTAAAATCATCATCGATTGATGCTTCTGTCCTCAACTATTTACTTTACATGTTAATGCAATATTATGATTGAGGCATTGTCTGGGTTTTTTAATTGTGTGATTATTGTAAATGTGTAATTTAGCTACAGCTAATGTTCCAACTCATTCATGCACTGCTGACATTAGACAGAGTTCATGGCTTAATACTATGATTTATTTGTGTTTCATACTAATTTTTACAGTTTGATCTTATTTTGTGCCGAAACACCACTGTCCCAGGTTAGGGGAGGGTTGAGCGCTCACAAAAATGTTTAACCTGGCCACATTCTTTATGTGTCTGTCCAAGTCTGGAGCCTGAAATTCACTGGCTGTCATATATACAAATTGTATTGTATAAATTAGGTCATTAGTTTTCTCGTTTGAATTGTCACATTTTTAATGTGGGGGACTTTTATAGCTGACAATACGGAATGAGTTTTTCTTATTGTTGAAGGCTGTACGATGACCTATAATTGCTCACATCCAGGTCTTTTAAACTCTGGTAGATAGTTTTCTCATTGGCAA